ATCTCCTGAGTCTGCGGTGGGACTGGGGACGGTGATGAGAGCCCGGACGCCTGGGCTCCCGGTGGAGCTGAACCCGGGACCCCGGACTCTAGCCCAGCTCTGGGGGGACTGGGGCCTGGGGGAGACCTCGGACGCCCGGGTTCTCTGCCCTGCGTGCCGGGGCGGGCGGGAGCTAGGGGATCCCCCTCGGATCCCAGGACCGGTGGTGCTGAGTCACGGCGCTGAGTCACGGCCCCCCCAGGCTTCCTCTTGCCCTGGCAGGGACCCAGGCGTCTTGGTGCCACCCGGCTCCCCAGCCCGAGAGCCCAGGCGCCCGGCCCCCTCCCCGGGCTGCACAGACCCCCGGCGTCCGGGTGCCCCCGTAGCCATCCTAGTCCAGGGAAGGAAGCCGCGTCCGGGCTCCAGCGCCCGCCCGCGGGCAGGTGAGGGGGCCATGACGCTGCAGTTTCGTTGCCTCCCTGACAGGAGGCGGGGTCTGAAGGCAGGGGGCGGGACCTGGCCTGGGAAGAGGGTCAGGGCGGGGCCCCGAGTGCCAGGGGCCTGAGTCACGCCGGGTGGGGCAGCGGGGGCAGGCGGGGCACGGGGCAGAGCCCGGCCGCCTGGCTCCCTCCAGCTCTGCCAGGGCAGTGGCACTCGCCCCGTGCCCTGCGTGAGGGGAGCAGGGAGGGAAACTGAGGCACAGATGGGGGAAGGGGTCCGGGTGCCCTGCCCCCGCCTTCCCGCTGAGTCGTGGAGCCCCCCTCGCAGCTCCTTACGCCCATCCATGTGTCCTGGACCCTGTACTGCCCTGGAGGCGAGGATTCCCCATGCCTGCTGCTTCCCCCAGGCACCTTGGGGTTGGGTATGCAGCCTCCTATCCATGAGTCCCAGTCCCTGTACTGCCTGGGGGGATTCTTCTTTAGGTTCTGGCAGCCCGCAGACATATGTCCTAGCCCCTCTACTGCCCATGGGGATTCCCCTCTGGATCATGCCCACTGGCACCTGGGCAGCATCCTGGACACAGTACTGCCCTGGTGGGGGGGAGTCCCCATGGCTGCTGCTGCTGGCACCTGGGAGCGGGTCTGCAGCCTCCTATCCACGAGTCCTAGTCACTGTACTGCCTAGGGGGATTCTTCTTTTAGTTGTGTGTCCCCCCGCACCCCCGCCACACACAGACCCCCGCGCCAGGCAGCCCGAATCCGTGTGTCCTAGCCCCTTTACTGCCCACGGGGATTTCCCTCTGGGTGCTGTCCCCTGGCACTTGGGGGTGGGACTACAGCCTCCTATCCACGTGTCCTAGTCCCTATACTGCCTGAGGGGGAAGGGATTTTCCTTTGGGTGCTGCTGCTCTCTGGGAGCTGGGGGCGGCCCCGCAGCCCGCATCCATGTGTCCGGGCACCCGTACTACCCGCAAAGGGGGTGATTCTCCAAACGCTGACCCCCCGTCTCTCTGCAGAAGTACCCCCCCTGCCAGAGG